ACCATTTAATGAAAAAAGTACACATTCTTAGCCATGTAATTGCTTTAATTTTTGGTTCAGAGCATATTGTATTTTTAGAAACTAGTTAGTAACGTTGTTTAAAATAGATGCATTGAGAATGTGAGGAATTTATTGGGATTCTGCTGCTTACTACTGTGCGAACTAGAAAAGCCACTTAGCTTTAGTTTCATTCAATGAGAAAGTGGGCATAATACCTACCCTGCTTACTTCACAGGGTGGTTATGAAAGTTGGAAAGCTTTCTAAGTTGGAAAAACAAATATATTATCTATAGTTGATGTCATCGTAAAAAGAATAAGTGCAATGAAGACTTGCCTCTCATTATCAGTGGGATTTATGGTTGGTGGAAATAGATAGATAGATAGATAGATAGATAGATAGATAGATAGATAGATAGATAGATTTGTACCTATTCTATTGTTTCTTTAAATTCTGAAGGAATTTCTACCCAGGTTCTGAAAATGAATATTATTCGCATTTTGGGAAGAGCCTTTCACAAAAATTTCCTCTACTTTTAACTCTAGGCCCATTAATGTGTAAGTTTATCTAGTCCATGATATCATTTTACAAGAGAAAAGCTGTTCTTTTTTTCCATTTTCTCAAAGGACTGTTAATTTATATCAGAAATTTGGTGAGACAGTCAGAAAAGGCTTGGTACAGCAAGGCACGGTGTGTTTCAGAAGTTAGGACCCACAATTTCTGATCTACTCTACAGATTTTTTTTTTTAATTAACAAATGCTGAGGGGTACTGGACCTCTCCTCTGTGTTCGCACAGCTCTTGAACTGTGTAGGACTTATCTCTAAAGTCCTAACATGAGCTCTTTAAGAGCAGAGCCTGTGACTTACAGATGTCTGTGTCTCTGGGTCTCCAACAGGAAAAATTTGTTAAATAAAAACTTGAATGAGCTTGCATATCAAAGAGACAGGGAAGTGGCAGCTCTTGGCAGATTTTTATCCTCAAGGCAGCTACTTGCTCCTGCCTGATTGAAAGAGGGCTGTGCCTGACTTGGAGGCTTCTTACCTGGCCAAAAGAGATCAAAGAAGAGTGTCTGTCGGCCATGCTCATCAAACAGAGGGCTTCCGGGCTTAAGAAACTCATAAGAAATTAGGAGGCAGTTCAGAGGAGAGCTCACATGAGTTAAAGAGATTAGAAAAAGAGGCAAAGAAAGGAGGCAACATTCAGGATTTGGGATTATTTAAACCTGCAGAAAAGAGCCCGAATAAAATGTCACAGTTGATATTCAGACATGAGCAGGGTGGTTACACACCATAAATCTTCTCAGCACTCTTTATGTGTCCCATAAGGGTAACCAGGTGCAAATGCTCAAGACTAGGTTCTATCCTAAGGATATGAAAGGCTAGGTGGCTCCCAGCCCCCAAGGACCAATGGGATAAATTTCTTAGCATACTGTTCCTCTTCCTGGTTTGAGAAGTCACATATGTTATGAAATTCCTGTGAAGAAGTGAGATGGTCTATATCTCAGGTCGAGTTTAAAGAAATGGATCAATATAATGAGTGAAAGATTTAAATATAAAAGGAGGAAATAATTGGTTCATATGAAAAAAATACACTGATTTGTTGAAGGATATGTCTATATGTCTGTGTATATATGGAGTAGGTCAAATCCTGTGTATAATTTTAAGCTTCCCTACTTCAGAAAAATAAATGATACAATCTTACAAGCATGCTTGAAGTTTTAATTATATACATTTAAATTAGGTTTATTTTATATTTGTGATGTTATTCCTTCTGAAGGTATTAAAAGCTAACTGAAACTCAAAACTTTTTATTTTAACATTCAAAAAACTAAGTACATGTGAAAGATCTTTAAGTTTTACATATGACTTAGTGTAACATAAAAGTATTCTGTAGATAAGATGGATTTAAGAACATAGGTGACCCTGAGATATGAATGTCTGCATATAAGGAAAAATGTGCATACTTTCAAGGCAGTGGAATTGGTGGGGTCCAAGTCAAGGGCTCCAAGAGTAAGGGGGACTCAGGTAAAGCCTAGATCACAGAAAAAACAGGAACGTTCCCTGGAGTAATACATACTACAAAGAAAGATTAGAGTGGGAATTGGAACCTCAGGCCTGGACACAGGGTCTGCTGGTTGGTGGGCAGGGAAGGAAGGGACTGTGGGCACACCTTCCTCAGATGCTCAGAACCCTTTGTGACTCTACAGGCTCTGTGATGCAGGCCTGAGGTTATAGTCAAGCCCAGGCGCCCTCAGGGCTCAGATGCCTCAGGCAACCAAGCAATTCAGATGATGGAGAATATTCTCTCTTTTCTGGAAAGCAACATTCAGCCATGGCTGAACCATGCCTTAGATTATTTGGATACAGTCCCCAGCAGCATCTTTATGACTGGGGTGGTGTTGCTCCTTCTGCACCTGTGCTACCTGGTGTTCAAAGTGTTTTTCTCGACACACTCGGAAAAACCCAACATCCCAAAGGTAGGGACCCCCAACAGGGGTTCTTCTTGTGGCTTCCCATTTCCCTTCTCACATTAGTAAATGAGTTGGGTTGGATCAGAGAGATATGTAAGGTGGGAAGTGGGAATAGAGGATAAAACTTCACTCTTTAGGGGAAGAGATCAGGCAGGGCCAGGGGCTCAGGGAGGACTAAGATTTCCAACTGAAGCTCACAGACTATTCTGGGTGAAGGGTTCCAAGAGAAAATGACAAAAAGTAATCGGTACTGATTGACATCCTTACTTATGGTGGGTTCTCAGAAGAAGTGTCTCTCCAGACACTGGATCCTGAGTGCCATACCCACATCACCTATCCTTCATTAAACCTCCTACATGTTGGGCTATGAAGGACAGCAGTGCTAACCTCTGAAGGCCTCTGATCAGAGGCTGGAGGCTGAGATCTCACCCCAGAACATAGGGTCCTGTGAGGGAGGCAGATGTGACTGTTGGCTCCAGATTCTATGATCTCCTTCAGCAGAGGACTTCTGATTGAGAATGTCAGAATGTGGAGCTCAAGAAAAATGCTCTCTTACTTAAGCTTTCTAAAGAAGAAAAATTGAAAATATTGTATTACCTTAAAAAGTTAAAAGAAGGAAGAAATCTCTATTAATTAAGTGTAAAGTAATAATAATTGTAGAGAATGGATAGCTGAGTTTCTTAGAAAAAGGAGAATTGAAGTGAGTCCCAGGCCCTGATTCAATTATTTTTGTTCTCAGCAAAAGAAGAGATTCAAGAAGAGAAGAAGCAAAACATTCAAAGGTATGCTTCTTCTTATTTGACCTGAACACTCTAAAGGTGACCTAAGGATGTCAGTTTCTAACCACAGTCTCTCTCAGGAAACAGAGCCTCAGAGGAGAGAGACAGTGGGACTTTACACATCCACAGGGTCCCTACTGTGCTCATCCTGGTAATAAGTAGTGATGGACATGGGCAATGGGTGCTGCTTAATAGGTGACTATGGGAGGTTGAAGCAGGACTACAGGATGCTTTGAAGTCAGAACTTCTTTTTCCTGACATTGTGCAATGTACTTTTATTTCCTGGGTGATCAGACCCATCTCTGAGGAAATTGCTGAATTCAATGCTTATACCTGCTGGTTCAGAGCCTCTAATGGGATTAACTATGAGAAGAACTTCATCACTGAAGCCACACACATAAAAGCATTCTTAATGATTATTGCTCCAGTTGATCTTTGTCTTCAAAATTCTTGGGGGTTTCCAACCTGGATATTAATAAGCTTTTCCTATAAAGGGATCCCTGTGTGATCACTGTGTACAAACATTCCTTATGTATAACCCACTCTCCTGGTTTTCCAGGTCCGAGAACGAGCCAGAGAGAAACACAGGAGTTGAAGAAGCTGTTTTCTGTTATAACAAGGTGATTACCCATTTCTTTTCCTTCATTCCTAGTCCCTTTCTCACATGTTCTATGCATTCCCCAGAGATTCAGTACAGCATGGCCTTCTCACAGGGAGGGGGAGCCCTAGCAACAGGTATGTGAGTGAAGGTCTTGGGAAGTGCTAAAAAGTGTGTTGTGAGGTGAAGGATATGGGCAATGTGAAGGGGGTAGAAGGTTTCACCCACAGGACTGCAGACCTCCTTTTCCTGTATGGTCCTTGTTAGAGCTTTGTACTTTGTGTCCCTTACAGCCCCCTGGGCCAACATCAGGATAGAGACAACTTGCAGCAACTGTTACATCCAGACAACCTCTGTAAGATGTTTAATGAGGTCAGTCATCTGCTATCTCTGACACCCTTGGAAGATGTTGCAAGTATTCAGACACCTTTGGATTCCACAGGTTATGTGAGAAAATCATCACCTTCCAAATTCCCTGCTCTCTCCTCAGTCCCAGGAGGGGAACTATTGCCAGCCTCTCTGTTGAAGCTTTCTCCACCTTCCTCATTCTCTCTTCCCCCTAACATGGTCATGCCCTCAGCTGACCTTCTCTCACCTTCCCCGTTGAGTGACTCTCTGCCACCAGAGCCTCTTCCTGCCTTGGACTCCAAGGCCACAGAAGACCCTTTGCCACCCCCATCACTTTCCCTCCCCCCTCCCCCACCACATCCCACTCAGGAAACAGACACTCTTCTACCACAAGATGCCACTCTGCCTGTGGTGAGCAGTCCTGCTGGCTTGTCCACTTCTGTTCCAGTGGGAGGCATGGACCATTCCAGCACAGAGCCCCCTGCCAAGAATATGCTGTCTTCCAATTTGGCACAAGATGGTGTAAAACAGCAATTTCTTGCCCTCCGTTCTGAGAACTTATCTGGGGGAGACACTGTAGCCTACTGTGTGGAGACTCATAATATCTGGTTTCTGCCCCCTGCTGTCCTGACATGCCTGGAGAGACAAATCAAAAAGAGGGGTGATGTCCTCAAGTGGAAAGAAAAGGAAAAGAAAGCAGAATCTTTTCCAAAACAACACCAGCCAAATTACCAAGGATTTTCTTCAGAGAAAAGGTCAGAGTCAGCTGCTGATCAGCAGGACTCGGCCATTTCTCTTCTTTCATGGAACGAAAAAGGCAAATCAGAGGAACCACAGGTGGATCAGCAGTCCCCTTATCCTAGGAGCTTTGAGGATCATTTACAGAAAAACTACACCCAGCTTTTCTATGGTGTCCCATCTCTACACCCCAAGTCCCTTAGCCCTAGTGTACCAGCTTCAGGTGATTATTCCTCAGCCTTTGTCTGCTTCAATACAGCATCCATTGATGCCACAGCCCACAAATCCCCAGTCCTTCTCTATACCCCACCTGCCTTCTTGCCTGTGAGCCAACCTCAACCCTTGCCCAAGACCTCTTCCCAACCTCAGCCCCAATATCTCACTCCTGAACATGCCCAGACCCAGCTTCAGCCTCAATCCCCACTCCCAATTCTGTCACCTCCTGAAAACCAGTTTAGGATCTGTGGAGTGCGTGATCTTGGACACAAGAACGAGGCACTATCTCTGGTGCCATCTGAAATTCATGACCTAGAATACAATGTGACACAAAAATCACAGGAAAGTCTGTGGGGTTTACCCTCTGTGGTCCACAAATCCCAGGAGGACTTTTGTCCTCCAGCTCCCAACATTGTGTTGGTTAACCCATCCTCCAAAGCTCATGTTGCAATCTCCATCCTTCCTGGAAATTATCTCCTTTCAGATGATCTTCAGAAGAAACTAGACCACCACCTTCGAAAGAGGCGTATCCAACACTTGTGGGGCCTGCCCCGAAGAGTATGCATCCCTGTCACTGATGCGTCCTCTGGAAAAAATTCCTGAGACCTCTGAGTCAAAGAGCAGTCATGGGCTCTCAAGAAAGTCTTTGGATAAGAGTCAGAGCACCAAAGATATAAATAAGGGGGGCTCAAGCCAACCCAGAAACCTCCATGAACTGAGCTCAGGAATGCTTCCTCTAAAGATGGGAGTGAGGAAGGCACAGAGAGATGGTACCAAGATTGAGCAAAATCGTCATGTGCTGAGTGACCGAGATAATGTTCTGGGGTCTTCCTCAAGGAAGGATCTAGAACATCACTTGCAGAGTCCATCAGGTGGAACTCCAAGTACCTCAATGGTGAATTCACTACAGAAACAACTTGAAAATGCCTTGAACTCCCACCTGAGCAAGAAGTTTCAGGAAATCAGTGAGGGTCAGATTCCGGGCACTGTGCATAGATCATGGCATTCTATCAAGATGGCATTGCCTGTAAGTGAGAAATCCACCAGACAAACGAGTCACAAACCTTTGGCACCAACCAGGATGGACAGCTCTGTCAATACGACCCAGGCTATTTCCTTCCTCGATGCTGGCAAGAAGAAGATAATGGAAGAACACATTACACTCTTTCATAAGAGGTTGATATATGGCTTTCCCGACAGGATTCAGGAATCCCTAGAGATCTTTAATGAAAAAGATTCATATCACTCCTTTTCTTACTCCAAGTTTCCTTTTTCTGCCACCCGTATTTCTGGGGTGGATTCTAAACACAGCATGTTTTTCTGGAGGAAGATATAGTGCTTTTCATGGAGACAAAGAAAAAACCAAAGATGCAACTCAAAGTCTAGATCGTCCTCTCCTTGCCACCTCAGTCGTGGTCAAGAAAGAACAGGCGATCCTGACACAAACAGTCTTTGAGATCAACAATAAGCATGTAGAGGACCTTCGCAGAATAAAGGATGGCAAACCATCTGTCCTGCCCCAGACACAGAGCATTATAGGCAAGGTTTATCAGAAACCACCTGTAGCAGCCAATAGATGCAGCCCAAAGCTGCTCATGAGGCAAGCTGGGGTTGGATCTCAGGAAACAGGACCTAAGAGACTGAGTTCCAGCTACAGTGTAGCAAGGCCTCAGGGCAATCAGATGCCCTGGGGAAGTTCTTCCATGTCCAAGATATCTGAGAAATCCAGGGAGACATTGAAGGCACAGGAGCTCTATGCTTGTCAGTCAAAACCTCCCACTGTCTTGACAACCAGAAAGCCAGAAAGCTCCCCAGTGTCAGATGTCTATACTCCTGAAAATTCCCCCAAAATACCAGTTGTTAGAGACCCTGGATTGTCACATCTTAACAATCCATTGCTTGGTGAGTTAAGGGCTAAAATGAAGAAGGGGGAACCTAGCCAGAAGCAAGGCCATAGCAATGGCATACCCCTTGTTTCAAATAGCTTGACTTCCAAGACCTTCCTTAAACATGACCAGGGTGCTGCCTGCAAGAACATGGCAGTTTCCCAGGTCCTGCATGTCCACCTGGACAACACACAGAGCATGAAGCATGGGCAGGGACCCTGGGTCCCTAAGCTTGACTTTCACAAAGGCCAAGATAAGAACTGCCCAGCAACCGCTAAGACAATGACCCCTCCAGGACCCCAAACACTCAAGCTTGGTGGAGGGGATGCAGGGTTGGGCACATGCCAACCCAGAAGGAGGAGCCACCACCCTCAAGACAGGACATTAGAGCAGACACTTGGGAGCAAGTCCTGCTCAGCCCAGTCACTGAAGGGACAAGCTCCTCCTGAAAGCCTCAGAAACCAGATGAAGAACTTTTTTCAATGGATTTATCCTAACATAAAAGGAAAAAGGCAAGAAGGTTCCCCAGAAAACGGCCGCTCCCCATCATCACCTGTGCAGGGCAGAGGCCTAGTCCAAAGGAGAGCTGCCTTTACTGGGAATACTGCCAACCCCAGAATCATGAGAGACGGTGACAAGGTCCTGGGGGAGAAACGTGGACACTGGCATGGAATCAATGTCACCTGCCCCCAAGAGCCACATTTGTCCCCTGTTAAGTCTGGAAAACTCAGCCCAAGGCAGGACTCGAGGTCCAGGCAGAATTTGTCCAGGTGCATCCCTTCAATTACAAGGCACCTTGCTCTAAAGTAACAAGGATCAACTCCATGCCCCACAGGGATCGAAAGACTCATTCAAGTCTCACCTGTGGGCATCAAGTGGGCCAGTTGTCTCTGGTTGCCCCTTTCTGTGCTGAAGCCAATTTGGTTATTATTCCCTAATTTGTAAAGAGAAAATTCTTATCCACCATTTGCAAGAAGGAATATTTCCTATAATAATTATCCCTGATGGAAATACTGAATGTCCCCAATAAATGTTCTTATAAGAGTTTTCTTTGTATTGTGTTGAATGCATGGTTTGGGGGTCACCCCATTGGTTGTGGTTACGGAAAGAAAAAAAATCAGTTTAACCCTTGCCCGTATTTGCTTGCAAGGTGACAAGTTCCCTAGAGCTCTTCTTGAAGGTATGTTACCTGCCCCTGAATCCCCTCCCCTCCCTTGTGAAGTTGGAGGAGGTGGCAGTTTCCAACCTCTTAGCTTTGTCTTAATGGCATTGTATGACAGTCCACACTTTCCCCCCTCATTGATCAAGTAGAGAGAAGTACATTTTCTTAGAATAAAATGACTTAGTCATTTTTTAAATAAAATTTGTCACCAATCAGCCTGTCACTGGTGCATGACCCTTTCCTGGGGGCATTTAGGGCATTGCCAAAGTGGATTCAAGCAAGCTAACAGAACATCTGGGAAAAGAGGAGGTGCTGCTTAAGAACCTGTCACATGGGCATGGTAACGTATTTTAGAAGCATACTGTTATCTTGCCATTGAGGTTCCCTTACTGGAAAATCACCTAAGGCAAATGGTTCCTCTTCCTGAATATTTCTTCAATCTGCCTGGACTGTTGTTGATGGTTTTGTAGAGTAAAGGGGTCTCTGCTGTCCCTGCCTACAACTGTCAGTGTTGAGAATATCAATTAGGGTAAAATAAAGCTAAGAGTAATGAAAAGATATCTTAGGGTGAGTGGGAAAGTAAGAAAAACATGCACAGAGTAAAGAATGACATTGTTGGTGGAAGAGAGGTTTATGCCCCATCATTCCCACATCCTGACCCTGGCATCTTCTTGCATTTCCCAGTGTGATTCTGCCAGCATTTCTCTGAGGCTTTTCAGGGTACTGCAGAGCTTATGTTGTACTGGCAGAAGTAAACATGGGGCTCTTCTTTACAAGAAGACAGCTGATTGGTTGAATACAGACATGTCATCCTTACCTTTAGGGAAGGTGCCATTGGTACATTCTTTCTACCCATGCTTATAACAATATGCAAGATATTGCCCTTATGAGGATGAGAATGCCACCATTGATCTTCCTGGGCTAGATGGAACCATGATATATCTCTCAGATCACTTTGAGCTCCTGATCCCACAGTGAATGCTGAAGTATGCACCAGGTTTACAGATTTTCACCTGCTTACCACAGACCTGTATGGAATGCTACACACATGAAGGTGACTCCTCTTGCACAGACTGAGTCTCAAAATTGAGTGAGTTTCCTAGGGGATATTTGAATAGGTTTTCCAGGAAAAATTGTGAATTCTGGTTGGCAAAATCAAAACAAAAAGCTGTCTACCACAGCTTCCTTTTAATCTAACTAGAGTATCTTCTTTGTCAGAATTCAAAGCAGTGTTCAAAGCTCAGAGTTGCAGAAGACATACAGATTTTGTGGAGTCCCTGGGATAAACAGATAAGGAGTTGGTAGAGGAACTGGAAAATCACCATGTATGGACTAGTTAATAAACTGGTCTTTGATCCATATTGTCCTACCTTAGGATTCTAACCTTTGGTCCAGTTTAATTATTGACACACTTATAGAATTTATCACCAGAAAAACATCTCCATCTGAGAAAACAGAACCATCCCCCTATCCTTCTAGTTTATGCTCTTAAATTCTGAGGTGTCAAAAATTTTTCCATTTCTCATTCTATCCACAAAGGTCTTCATTCCCTCCCTCTTCATCATAGAATTGTCTATCAAGTAACCAACATTAATAAAGCTCTACTCCAACTGAACCTCATCCCATATATTTGATCCTCCTTGTCCGGGAAAATCCCATCTCTCTGCTTTTCCCATGGATGTCTTCCTATAAGTGATGGATCACTACTGGATTCAATCTAACAGGTTTACTCTCACCACAGTGAAGTCATAGTTGGTCCCATACTATGTGGAAATAATTCACTTACTTATTCCCCAAATAATTATGGTATACTTACTCTCAATAAACAAACCTCATGAAGCTTAGGTCACTATTCCTTAGTCCATTCTCTCATGACACATTTATTCCAACTCTCTACACTTTCTTCAAAGTGAGGTCATCTCTACTTGTTGAGTCAATGTTCTAGACTCACAGTTCATAGAGGTACTAGAAGCCATCACATGGAATTCATATTAATAAACTTTAAAAAAATACTCTATGCATCCTCCCCCCATTTTATATTTCTTCCTGTTATACAGAAAGAAATTTTCTTCCAAGGGCCTAACCTGAAAGGAATTCCTGAAGTATCTATATTGAGGAACAGCTCAACTCCAGTTTATGGACTAAACACATCCTTGCCATCTATTGTTATCAGCTCCTCCCTCTTGTCATATGGAAATTAATATGTTACTTTTTAAAAGCTTTTTATTACAAAAATGTTTAAAGATATACAAAAGCAGATAGACCCACATAACCATTCTGATAGCTACCACTCAACTTTTGTAATTATGGATTTGGCATCTGTGATGCACCCCATTTTTACACTATGAAGCAAAGTGCATTTAACTATCTCATTATTCATTCCAGATGATAAGCTGTGTATCCTTTTTCAATGTTCTCACAGTCTTTTGATAGCACATTAAGAACATACCTGTCCATGTACAGGTGTGTTAATAAACTGGTCTTTATTTTTTTTCATTGGCTTTAAACAAGAGATTTATGGATTTTGACAATGCATTCTTCTCCTTTATTCAACCCTGAGAAGCCAATTGGGAAAATTCCTCACTATAACAGCAATCTTATGAATTAACTGTACAATATGTCAATCCCTTAATCACATAGTAACTATCACATGAAACAAGTATAGGCATAAAAAATTGAACCTCTGGATAAAAAACTATTTACAAGAAAACAATTCTTGTCACTCATTGACAGTGATTGTTTCCATTTAATCCAGCAAACCAAATATTTTTATTTCATCTCTTTCCCTCAATGCCATTTTGTAGCAGATTATATAACAAAATGCTCAACATCATGAGTCATCAGAAAAATGCAAATCACAATCATTAGATAACTCTTCACACCTGCTAGGATGGCTAGAATGACTATCAGGAAGTATGTGAGAATATGTGGAGAAATCAGAAAAGTTGTATTCATTGCTGGTTGGAATGCAAAAGTGTAATACTTTTGGAAGATAGTCTGTCATTTCTTCAAGATGACCAACACAATTGACCCACAACTTAGTAATTCTACTCCTATGTATATTCCCAGGAGAAATGATATTATATATCCACATAATAACTTATGCATGCATATGCATAGGATTATTCATAATATCCAAAAAGTGGAAAAAACACAAATATCCATAAACCAATGAATGGATAGACAAAATGTGGTATGTCCATATAATGGAATTTTATTCAATAACAAAAGTATTCATACATAGTACAATGTGGGTTAAATGTGAAAACAAAACTATTGATACATGGTAGAACATGGATGGATAGTGATATCCTGATCATATATGAGGCAATTAAATGTCCAAATTAGGGAGATGTATAGAGACAGAACATAGATTAATGGTTGCACAGAGTCAAGGGGAAAATGTGCAAGAAGAGTAATAGATAAATGGTGGGAGACATTGAAATTCTGAAAATATTTTAAAATTGACCCTGGTGATAGATGCACAACTCTAATGATCACACTAAAAATCATTGTATTACATACTTTACGTTGGTGAATTTTATGGTATGTGAACTATATTTCAATAAAATTTTTAAAACAGTAAAGGATCTTTAAAGATTGTTTCTAGATGACAAAAAAGGGATAGGAAGCCAGGCATGGTGGTGCACCCTGTAATCCCTGCAATTTGGGAGGCTGAGGCAGGAGGATTACAAATTCAAGACCAGCTTGAACAAGTTAGCAAGACCCTGGCAATGGGTGCTACCCAATTGGTGGCCATGAGAAACGTCAAGGAAGAACTCCTGGTTGCTTTGGGTTCAGAACTTCTGCCTCCTGATGCGTAAAGTAAAACTTTATTTCCTAGGAGCTCAGACTCATCTGTGAGGAAACCACTAACTTCATGATTCACATGGTGGTTTCAAGCATCACAACCACATACATATGTGAGATTTGTTGTTATCATTGGCCATTTGACCTTCTCTATTAGAGGATTTTTATGGCTTTCAGATTTTGATATTCTAAAGCATTTTCTACCAAGGGACCTATTTTTATTTTTTTTAAATTAGTGCATTATAGCTGTCCATTATATTGGGTTCATTTTGACATAATTTTAAAATCATGGACTATAATTTGCTCCATTTTATTTTATTTTATTTTTTTTTGAAGGTACAGTTTTATTTTTTTCCAGCTTTTATTCCTTTAACATCTTAACAAAAGAAGATTTCCCAAAGTTTAAAAAATCTTTGAAAAATATACAGTTTCATATTATTTACACAATATATGAGTACAGGTTCCAATATCATACAAATATTGTAATGTTAGAAACACAGTTGGAAGGCATGATGTAACTCACTGCTTTTAGATGAAAGACTAATGGACAAGTTTTCATATTTCAACTATCTTTGTTACTTGTTATATCCTGATATACGAACTATTAGGCACCTGAGAGGCTGGAAGACTACTGAACATGAGATGAGCTTCAATACCTTCTATTTTGTTTGATCTTATTTATTTTTAAAACTTACCACACTTATCTCTTTACAACTTTGCTTTATTCTCACTACCCTAAATGACCAAATAATAACCACATGAACTGTTAATGTATACATGAATCTAAAAATCAAACATAAAAATGAATAGCCAAGTTATATAAGATATATATTTAATCCCAGGCAAGTCCCTATGGCTTCATGAGCAACTTAGATTCTAGAGACAGGTGTCAACACTTCAGTTTCCATGCTCTGAACTATATTTTTAAAAAACATAAAAAAGGACTGACAATAATTGGAATAATTCATCTCTTTATATTCAAGAAACCTAAGATTAAAAATTCTAAATTATAGTTTTATTTATACTTAAAAATACATTGGAAATTCTGCATATGCCCATGATCAAGCTTATTTTCAATGCACATTACTTCAATTTTGATGACATGGTTTGTTCTGACAAGTCCTTTTACAAGCTGAACACCAAAATAGGGAAACTCCTGTAGATTTTCGCTGGCATTGCCACGGATGATGTGTATTGCTTCCTTGCTAATGGTGATGGGTGACTCTCATCTACCTTTTATCACCTGAACAGTTTTCCGACCATAATGATAATAACTGTAAGCTGATGCAGCTGTGGTGAAAGCTGTAAAATACCAAAGCATCCAAAGGTAAATGCTATCACCATAATTGAAAACTGGAGCTGCCAAAGAAGCTGCCACCAAGATTAACTGAACTGCTGAGTTTACCTTGCTGATGAACGTTGGTTTTAATCTAGCAGTAGCATAACAAGGATTGAAATACTTAGCTAGTGTTCGCGGTGTTGGAAGAGTTCGATATCTGACATAAAAAACAGCAGCAATCAACATTACATCTCTTGAAATTATCATATAAGTAAGTGGAACAAATCGGTTAGCCCAGCTAAAGCAAAAACTCCTAGTGCAACATTAAAATCTTCTTCAATAATCAAATATCCCAAAATTGGGGCCAAGCCAATTCTTGTCATTGACAACATATTTGGGATTGTCCATGGATTTTCATACGGACTGGGGGCGCTCGCCGGGACCCACCCGCCGCCCGCGGCCTCCGCGGCGGCGTCCCCTCCTGCCGCAGGCCCGGGGGCCGCTTTGCCCGCGCCTGAGCAGTGGCTCCGTGGGCCGGCTCTGGGCAGCCGCAGGGCAAGCGCGGCCGGGCGCAGCGACCAGCGCTCGGCCTGGCAGCTCAGGCAGCAGGGCACGAGCGGAAGCAAGGCCCCGCGGGAGCGCCCCTTACCCGACCGCACCCCTAGCACCCAGGCGGCCGCACGCAGGGCCCCCCACGAGCCGCGCGCCAAGCGCGAGGCCAGCATGGCCCTGCGGCCCTGCCGCGAGGGCCGAGGCGGCGAAAGCTCAGCAGCTCGGGTCACCGGCGAGCCTCTTCTCCATAGAGACCCCGAAGTGCCGGGGAAGCACGGCCGCTGGTGCCTCCATACTAGTTTCCTGCTCCATTTTAGTCCCTAGTACTTCCCCTTTCTCTCTCCTCCCCTTACCCCCATTCTCTTTTCTCTTCTTATCTTTCTTCTATTTATTTATAGTTTATGGATAAACATGATGGTGAAATTAACTGTGCTATATTTATATATAAATATACAAAGAAAACTTTGGCTAGATTCATTTCACATTTTTGTGCTTCCCTTTTCCAGTTCCTTCTCCCTTCCCTGAATTCCCTTCCTCTTCTCCACTGATCTACTATTTTCATAGGATTTTCCCTCTCTTTTTTCTTCTCCTTACTTCAGTTAAGCTTCCACATATGAGAGAAAACAATCAACCCTTGACTGCCTTGAGTCAGACTTTTTTCATTTAGCATGATGTTCCATCCATTTCCCAGCAAATCCCATAATTTTATTCTTCTTTACAAATAAGTAAAACTCCACTGTGTATATATACCACATTTTCTTTCTCCATTGGTCTGTTGATAGACACCTAGGCTGGTTCCATGGCTTGGCTACTGTGAAATGCACTGCTATACACGTTAAGTGGCTGCATTTATGGTTTTAGATCTTTTGGATGTATACTGAGGAGTGGGATAATTGGGTCGTATGGTTGTTTTATGCCTAGTCTTTTGAGGAATCTCCAAACTCCTTTAGTGGTTGTACTAATTTACAGTCCTATCAACAATGTATTAGAGTACTTTTTCCCCACATCTGCACCAACATTTGTAATTTTTATATTCTTATTAATTGCCATTCTGACTAGAGTGAGATGAAATCTCAATGTAGTTTTGATTTTCATTTCCCTAATTGATAGAGATATTCAACATTTTTTCATATACTTGTTGACCATTTGTATTTCTTCTTTTCAGAAGTTTCTGTTTATTAATTGGGTTATTTGGTGGGGGGGTATTCAATTTTTTTGAGTTACTTGTATATTCTGGATATTAATGCCCTGAGGAGCAGGTGGCCAAGATTTTCTCCCATTCTGTAGATTCTCTCTTTCCATCTTTGTTTCCTTGGCTGTGTAGAAGCTTTTTAATTTAAAGCCATCCCACTTATTAATTCTTGGTTTTATTTTTTATGCTTTAAGAGTCTTGTTAATGAAGTTGTTGCCTGTGCCAATATGTTGATGTGTTGAGCCCACATTTTGCTCTAACAGTTGTAGTGTTTCTGGTCTAATTCCTAGGTCTTTGGTCCACTTCAAATTGTCTTTTGTGCAAGGTTAGAGATAGGGATCAAATTTCAATGTTGTACATACAGATATCCAGTTTTCCCAGCACCATTTGTGAATGCACCACATGCTTTCTTCAATGCATGTTTTTTGGCAAATTTTTCAAGTATCACATGACTATATTTATATGGTTCTGTCTCTGTGCCATCTATCAAGTTCTATTGGTCTTCATGTCTGTTTTCAAATACCAAGCTGTTTTTATTACTATAGCTCTATATTACAATTTGAGGTCCAGTATTGTGATGCCTCCAGAATTTTCTTTATCCACTGGTCTATTAATGAACACCTAGGCTGGTTCCATAACTTGGCTATTGTGAACTGTGCTGGTATAAACATTAAAATAGTATAGTATAGTATATATAATATAGTGGCTGCATTTCTATAGTATTTTTAGATCTTTTGGATATGTACCAAGGAATGGGCTAACTGAGTCAGATGGTGGTTTCATGCCAAGAAGAGCTTGCTCAGATCTGCTTTAGCTATTCTGAATCTCTTATTCCTCCATATAAATTTCAGAACTGTTTTTCTAGTTCTGTGAAGAATGTCACTGGTATTTTAATGGGGAAGCATTGACTTTGTGTAATACTTTTGGAAATACGGCTACTTTGACAATATTATTTGTGCATATCCAAGAATATAGGAAGTCTTTTCATCTTCTAAGGTTTTCTTCAATTTCTTTCCTCAGTGTTCTATAGTTTTCATTCTAGAGGTCTTTTTCCTCCTCCACAAAGGAACTTTGTGTTTCTACCTGCATTACAAATTAAACATTTTCCTGTCTTTCCAGGTCAAAAAAAAACATGTTTAGAGAACAGAAAAAGGGAGAAAACTGCTCACTGTTATGATAAAGTGATTGGTTAACCATTTCCCTTCTATTCTGCTTCCCTTTTTAGGATGATGTATCCCAAGGATTCAATGCAGCCTTCTCTTGTTTTGAGAAGGGCAACTATAGCAACAGGAAGGTTATAGAGTGTGTTGTGAAATTATGGATATGGAACAATGAGAAGAATTTAGCAGGTTTCAGGTGGTTCCAGCCCAACCAGGCCAATGGGCCCTTCCTTTCCATGTTTTTGTTCTAGATACAGCTTTGTACTTACTATCTCATGCAACCCTGTGAACTAGCATCTTTAACATCCACATTTTGTTAATGATCATATCTGCATTCCTCTGTGAGAAAATGCTAAGATCAATTACCTGCTGTCCAAAGAGTCCCTTATGCTGCACCCTCTATGTCTCTTTGTCTTCTGAAGCTTATATGACTGAGTTGTCAAACATCCTGACATCCACACTCTCAGCATTCCCTACAGTAGACAAAATACCAAGCTTCAGTCTTTTCCACTATCCCTTTAATTCCCTCACCTAACAAGGTCACCCCTTAGCTAACCAACTTTCACCCTCACCACTCAGTCCCCAGAGCTGATTCCTCCCTTGGATTTGAAATTCCAAGTGAACCACTTTCTATTTCAACAACTTCTGCTTCCCTGTCTCCCACCAAATCATACTCAGGAAGAAGAACCTGTTCTCTAATGAAAGACCACTTTGTCTCTAGTGGATATATCTGCTGGTTTGTATATTTATATAACCAACTCTCAAAGGCACTGATCATTAAAGCACGACAATGTCAGAATTCTGCCAGTGGCTAACCCCCACCGGGAACATGTTATCCCAAGATTACCACATCTCATTTTCAGCATGAGCATTTTCCTCTCCAACTACTTGAGACTTGTCTCCAGGGAGATTCTGATACCAAGCACATGGAGTCCAGTAGCTTTAATTTCTTTGGCTTGAATATTCTGGCACTATTTGAGAGACAAAGAGAACAACTTGCTAGAGTGTAGGGGGGAAAGAAGAAGAAAATTTTTCAAGACAAATGTGGTTTGAATACCAGCAGATATTCAAGGAACTCATTGCAGTCACTTGTTGACAAGCAGAAGAAATTAAAGCTAAATAAAGGCATCTGTATCTTCATTGGCAGCTATTATATGTGAAGACTTTGGGAGGAAACTTAAAACAGTAGTCAGATCTTCTGGGGTCTTCCCCTGCTACACAGAAGGTCCATAGTGGATACTCCACAGGGTTCTAGGAGCAGTCACCCCCTAGAATCTCACTCTTGTTTTATTCAGTGGCATATGTAATGTTCCTGCCCTCTAAATGGAGGATTAAAGGTCTCCCTCACTGCCTCTGTCCCATCCACTTTCCCTCACTAATGTACATTCCTATTGCTTTCCTCAAACCAAGATTCAATACCAGATCCTATCTCATACTCATTTCCATTCCCATGCTCACCTTCAATCCCTACTCATAGTCATCTTCATCCCAGAATAAGGACTATAAGGTATCATTCCATAGATTCTAAAATAAAGCTGACTTTCACATTTCAATTGAAGATCAACCCCTGGAAGGACATGCGTGTTACCTCCACATCTCTGTGAGCAAATACCTAAGAAAATCAACTTAAAGATTTATTTTTTGGCTTAAGTTTTAGAGGTTTCAGTTCATGGTCACTGGAATTCATTGTTTCTGGGTCTGTGGAGAGGCAGAACATGGCAGGTACTTTTGCTCACCTTCTGGTGGCCAAATAGTAAAGAGAGAATTAAAAGGGGCCAGGGACAAAATGTACCCTCCAAAGGCATACCCCCAGAGACTTACTTTCTTCAACTAAGTCCCAACTACTAAATTTTCCACCACTTCCTAATAACTCTGTCAGCTGGGAATGAACCAAGCCTTTAACACACAGCCTTTGGTATATATTCCAGATTCAATCTATAACATTATGCCCTTGCCCCCAAAGATTCATAAGCATTTCACAATGCAAAACACATTCAGTCCCTCCCCATAGTCTTAATAGTTCTAGAAGTGCTTACAAGTCCAAGTCCAAATTCTTCTTTGAGTCTCAGGCAAACTCTGAGCTATGAACCCCTACAAAAATTAAAAAAAAAAAAAAGAAGTTAACTATGTCAACATAAAATAGCACAGGGTAAACATCCCCATTCCAAATGAGAGGAATAGGAGAATACCAAGGATGAAAACTAGCTGAGAAAATGTTAAATCCTCTAACTATGTCCAGCATCTGAAGCACCTGTTGGTATTTGATGTAAGCTTCATAGGACTTGAGCATCCTGACTTTATGGCCTTGCTGGCTGAAACCCACTTGGTCACACTCTTGGGCTGGCTCCACTGCAGCTTTCCTCAGCAGATATTCCTGGTACCTTGGTATCTCTAAATTCTTGAGGTCTTCATTGCAGCTTCATTTTCACTCTTATAGCTTCATATAACATCTTCTCAGGAACTATCTGAATGAGTTCCATTCCAGCCACACTTTTCCTGGCCTCCGAGGCCTTCATTTGAAATCTTGGTGGAACTCACAACTCTTGCATTCTTTATGCCTGCAAAGCCAGCAACACCATATGGATGATGCCAAGATTCGCTGCCAGACCAAGCAGTGGTTAGGCCCCCTTGAGCCCAGATATAACAGTCCTGGAGAGACTGGATAGTTGAACAAGGTGAAATGAAACCTGAGGAATAAACTTCCTAGATGGCCCTGTGGGAGCAGGGCACCTAGGTGCTCTCTTGTCAAATGAAATATTTATACTTTTATGCCTTTGACCATGGAAGAAGTAGTGTCTCACTGATAACCTGAGACCCATCAAGACATCTTTCCTGTTGTTACAGTGCAAAATATTTGATTTATTTTTAATGGTGATCATCCCTTTAGCAAATATATCCAACAACTTCTGCTTCCCTCTCTCTTTCTTGGAAAGAACTTTACATATACTCCTTTTCTGGTCAAACTGCAAGGTTTTCAAAAAATCTTTCTGCTCTGATTTTCCTCCCAATTCTCTCCCTAAAATCTGTCTAAAACCATCTAGATTACCCATGCCACAGCCTGAATGTTGTGCTGCCTTCACATTTTATCTGCCAGATAAACTAGTTCATTACCTTTAAACATGGCCTCGCACAAAATACCAGTGCATAGACCAAATGTAGACAAGTTCTTTGCCCAAATATATTAATGGTGTCTAGTTTAATTCTCAATAGAGTCTTCGTTTCCATCAGACACCTCATGAACACAATCTTTACTGACTGCATTCTTATCGCCATTCTGGCCTTCTGAATTCCCACCAAACTCTCCCATTAAACTCTGTTACAGTACTCTAAACCTTTTCTGACATCATGATCAGATATAACTAAAGCAATGGCCCTACTCCCAGTACCAATTTTCTATTAGTCAGCTCTCTATCCCTGTGACAAAACCCCTGAGAAAATCAACTTAAAGGAGGAAAGATGTATTTTGGTTGTTTCAGAGTTTTAATTCATGGTCCTTTGACTCTGCTGTTTCTGGGCCTGTAGTGAGGCAGAAACATCATGGCAAGAGAGTGTGTTAAAGCAAAGCTGCTAACCTCAGTAGCAGAAAGCAAAGAGAGAAAGCCATAAAAGTCCAGGAACAAAATTTAGTCTTCAAAGGCATGACTCAGTGACCTATTTCTTCCAACTACGTTCCACTTCCTAAAGTTTCCACCAGCTTCCAATAAGTCACTAGGTGGGGACTTACCTGAAATACATGAGCCTGTGGGGGACATTTCAGATCCAAACTAAAGCTGCCGTACTGCAGAAACAAATAATTTGCAAGGTTTAGTCATTCAGCACTCAAAATGAAAAGAAGCAATTTGCTCTTTGACTCCCAATATTTCATTCATCAGACAGTCTTCCCAAGTCTATGTTCTAGTCTCCATCTCTCCTGGCCATTATTATAGCAGCATTGAAGTCCATGAGATCTTGTAGCTTAATGTTCCAGAAAGATTAATCCCATGCTATTACCTCTGAACCCATAGTAATCAAGGATTTATAGGATTGAAGGAACCTTAGTGAAAATCAAGAGAACCATCTCAGCACAACTGCAGACACAATCATTTGATATTAAATGTCCCCCAAAGGTTATGTTCTAAAGGCTTGGTTGTTAGTTTGTGGAACTACTGGGAGATGGAGAAGCCTTTAGGAGGTGGGGCTTAATGGAAGGAAATTAGGTCACTGGGATACTTTTGAAGGTGATACTGGGAACCTGCTCCCTTCCTCTCCCCTCTTTTCTTCCCAGCCGCCAGGAGGTGAGCATCTTCATGCACTTCCCACCATGTTATTTTGCCTTGCCAAAGGCCCAAAGTGGCATTATAAAACAACCATGGACTAAAATCATGAGCCAAAATAAATATTTCCTCCTTACAAATTGATCATGACAGGTATATTCTCATAGTGATTTAAAAAAAAAAATTGACTAACTTGCAACCCTCTGAACTTCAGGACTACAGGATCAAGTATCTAGGAAAGATAGAAATGATTCACCAGAAAGTTTCCACCAGAGGATCCCAACAAAGCTTCAGCTAAGAAGGGGCATGGCAAAGAATCTTGTGCATATCCTGAGGAAGTTCCCTTTATATAATGCATCAGTGGTCTCAGAATGTTTTCTAGTGAAGGGTTTGAGGCTGTCTGAGTCAAAAAGTGACTGGGTACATAACTCAAGAAATGACTCAAAATGAATTACCATGTTTCTCAAAGAGGAACTTAGATTAGGATTAAATACATATCCTTCTCACATTTATGCAGGATTTCTGGCAGATAACCGTGGATAGAATCCCTACAGCTATGTGTCTTTAATGACTTCCTGAGGACAATAATTGCCTTCTCTGAAAAAAGAAATTTGACACCCCTGTTGGGTAGGATCTATTACCATATTACCATTCTGGAACTTTCCTTCATTACAAAACATAACAGACGTTAAAAGCCAAAATTCTAAGGTTTCCAGTGAGTCAGAGATGGAGTTGTCCCCTAAAGGTTTTTGAATCTATAAAATTCCATTATGTTGAGAGAAGCTAAAACATGGCCTCTTCCTTAACTGACTTTTCTTCATCTTATAACCATAATTTGGGGGTGGGGAAACAAGACCCCTTAGGCAAAACACTAAAGATTTTCATGGAGACAAGAAGGTGCAAAAACATCAGTTCCCTGTCTGGATCATCCCTCTGCCATCACATCTATGGGCAAGGGAGGACTGAGCAGTTGCCATCTGGTACAGATCATTAGCTTACAGAAAACTTCCAGACACTTGAGGATGTCACAGACTCTTTTTACCCTGCATACATAGCATCATAAACAAATTAAGAAAGAAAAAGACTGTACCAGCCAATAGCTAGAGCTTAAAGCAGCCAAGAAGGCTAGAATGAGAAATATATGAATCAAAGGGTGAAAGGGTAAATTCCATCCATAGAATATAAGTTCTTCAGAAAAAAAGGATGATGGGGAAGAATTCAGAACATTTTTCAACATCCAACATATCCAGGCAGATATTCAAGGCCTCTGGGCTCTGTATCTCTTCAATCACAAGATAGTGGTATCCTGACAACCAGCAAGTTGGGAAGCTCCCAAATGACAAATATGAATGTCAGTAAAGTAGAAAATACCTTGACCACTGAACATACTCCACCAAGAATATCCATTCTTGAAGATCCTATATTATCAGACCTTAAAAAAAAAGCTATCTAGTGAATTAAAATTTAAACTGGAAACTTGAGTCACATAACCAGGCTCTCCCAGCAACTCGTCCCTTCCTTCAGACAGCTTGACTTCTGATTCCTCACTGACTCACTTCCACAGCGTCTCCAGTGGGGAACTGGCAGCTTTCCAGAAACTGAATGTCAACCTGGATGACTCAGGGATTGGCACACTGCAAAGCAGGCACCCAGGGTCCCTAAGCAAGTCTTATGCAAGTGCCAGGATAAGCTTCTGACCAGCTGAGAGGAGAGTGAGCCCTCCAGGATGCAAAAGAGTAAAATACAGAGGTGAGAACTCAGGGTTAGAGTCATCCAGAGCAGTAAGGAAGAATAATCCTGCAGAGGACAGAAAAGAGAAAGAGGATTCCAAGTCCTTGTCACAGAAGTAACCATTTTTCTCCTGAAAGTTTAAGACATGCGTTGGGGCAGGAAAGATGGTGGACTGAGATGGACATCATTACCCTAGATACACGTATGACTGTACATATGGTGCGATGCTACATCCACTACATCAGTACAACCAGAGAAATGAAAAGTTGTGTTTCAATCATGTACAATGAATCAAAATGGATTCTGCTGTCATGTATACCTAATTACAATAAATAAATAAAGTTTCTAAAGTAAGAAAGAAAGAAAGTAAAATGCATCTAGGTATGACTTACAAAAAAAAAAAAAAGACACAGTAGGTTTTTTGTTTTGTTTGTCAGTTGGTTGGTTGGTTTACTCTGGCTGTTGTTGTTTTCCAGCAGGTCAAAAACAGGACAAGAAAGTGTCCTGAAAAAGATAAGTTCATCCAGCCCTAATTTTGTGCAGCCCTAAGATTGAGTTGGAAGTAGAGCATTAATTATGAGCTATCAGCCTCCTGAAGCCCATGAGCTCAAGGTACTCTTTGACAAGATCCTGAAACAGAAACTGGCACATAAGAATGTGAGGTCTTGGAGTTGAGCCAGCAGAAGGAGGAACTGCACAATCCTAGGCAAAGCCTAAGTAGGGACAACCTTTCAGCTATGGGACTGATTCTGACCCACAGCAAGTGGAGGAAGAGGAAGGGTCAAGTCCCTGCTCCTGCAACCAAGAAATTGTCTGTCCTGGCTCAAGTTGTCTTACAAGTGTTAGGTGGATGAGAGACAATGTCAGACTCCCAGAGAATATGTCAGGTATTACTTCAGAGTCATCGAGTTTCCCTACACTCCATGGAGCCTGTGTCCCATTCAAGCTTCACCTGCATGCACATATGCCAGGAGCCCCTAAATGTCCTCCCACTTGCTGAAGACACTGGGTTCTGAGATTTGACTATTGTATGCAAACAGAACATATTACTCCTGTACTTACAAGAAGTAGAAATTTCCCCCAAGGGGATAATCTAGTTCTTGAGATAAAAGCCTCCAAGTGTTCATAATACATCCTCTGATGAAAATAATTTCTCTTTAAGAAACCCTTTTTTGACATTGCCAGTAAATATTATTTCTAATATATACTAGTATTCCCTGTGTTCTGCACTGGGGTAAGAATTTTATGTATCCAGAACTGTTCCTTAAAAGGACAAGAATTTTTTTTTTTAACTCTGACTGCTACTTGCATACTAAAAGATGATTTTTTTTTTAAATTCTAAAAGATGATCAGTCATTGTAGGGAGCCTGACAATGCCCTTCTTGTTTACCCTGGGTCTTTAACACTTCTCAGAATTTAAAAGCTCTATTTTTTTCATTAAATAAAAAGTTTAAAATTTACCAGGCCTTTTCAATGTGGGGAAACCCTTAAAATTCAGACCTTGGCTCAAACCATCTTTTCACCTGCTCCCTCACTATCCTAAATATCAGCTGCAGGATGGGTCAGTTACTCTTTCATAATAGAGACAGAAATTACCCTTGCTTCCTTATAGCAAAGTTTTGGAATTGGAAGCAAGGTACTGGTTAGGTCCTGAGGTCCATAGCAGGGACAAATCTTCCTCCTAGATCTCTTGGTAAGAAATAAATTTCACCTGCTTCTAGAGGCCATCCCTTCTCTGCCTCAGAAAGGTTAATGAAATAGACAATATCCTTTGCCTGTAACAAAAATGGAAAACAGGTGAAGGTCAGCCTATCCCCTTTCTCTGTCCTTTCTTGAACAATGGGAAGGACAGAACTTGCAGCTCTGAAGGAGGCCAGGAATATGAATATTTTCCTGAAGACAGTGGCTTACATTCATAAAATGCTCTCAAATCATAAATGGAGTTATACTGAATTACCTGGCCAAAATGTAACATAAATATTAACAATATTTGCAATGAAGAATATAAACAAAAAATAAAGAGGAAATATAGGTATTGAAGATAATCTCTTAAATATGTTGCAGTTACAAAGCAAGTAAAAAAATGAAATTACAGACTAAGTAGAAAATAATTACAAGCGAGCATCACATGTAATGCTTTCTGGTAAATGGCAAAGATTATAATCAGGAAGTAAATTATTTGTTTAAACTTGTTACAAAAGGAGGAAAACTAATAAATTAAGCCCTTAAATGCATGGAGTAAAGTGCAACAAAACAGGAACAGAAAGAATTACTAAGTTTAAGAATGAATGACAAGAAAAGAAAAAAAAAAACAGCTTAAGTAAGTTCAATAACCAATTCTTTAAGAGAAAATGTTGAGAGTCTCTAACCAGCAGGGGAAATTAGATGTTAATTCATTAAATATCAATTCTAGTTTTATATTTTATTTTTTTACTTTCTGTTTTATTATACTTGCATAAGCCCCCCTATTGAATTCTCCCTACCTTTCAAATAATTCTTCATCCTAATATGTAATTCTCTCTTATTAATATTTTTATTTTTATTTTTAAGAGCATAATCTATGCTTTTTAATTTTTATTGCAAACATAAAGCAAGGGTCTACAATCACATCTGGGCAAGATTTTAAATTAAATTTTATTTTGAGATATAGATTCCTTTACCCCAATTTCCCCAATGGTACATCTTATAAATCTACAGATCAAGCCCATAACCAGATCATGGAGGTTGATTTCATCAAGATGCACACTGTCAGCCAGGTGTGGTGGCACATGCTTGTAATTCCAGCAGCTTGGGA